ACAGTTTGGCCATAACGAACACCCTGTTCGAACATAAGAGTGTCCATAAGTGCACGTGGCACCAGGACGCTCTAATCGTATCAGCAGACCTGCGACCATATGTTCTGGACACTCGGGTAAAGAGAGGGGCTGAGCTGTCAACTGATCACCACCTGGTGGTGAGTTGGATCAGGTGGCGGGGGTGGACGCTGGACAGACCTGGTGCACCTAAACGCGTAGTGAGGGTGTGCTGGGAACGTCTAGCAGAGGCCCCAGTCCGCGAGATCTTCAACGCACACCTCCGGCAGAGCTTCAACAGCATTCCGAGGGAGACTGGGGACATTGAGTCCGAACGGACCATGTTCAGCGTCTCCATTGCCGAAGCTGCTGCATTGAGCTGCGGCCGCAAGGTGGTTGGTGCCTGCCGTGGTGGTAATCCCCGAACCAAATGGTGGACACCAGAGGTGAAGGGAGCCACCAGGCTGAAGAAGGAGTCCTATCGGGCTTGGTTAGCCTGTGGGACTCCGGAGGCAGCCGACAGGTATCGACAGGCCAAGCAGAATGCGGCTCGGGCAGTGGCTGAAGCAAAAACTCGGGTGTGGGAGGAGTTCGGAGAGGCCATGGAAAAAGACTTTCGGACTGCCTCGAAGAGATTCTGGCAAACCGTCAGGCGTCTCAGGAGGGGAAAGCGGTGCTCTACCTGCACTGTGTATAGTGCTGGCGGAGCGCTGCTGACGTCGACTGAGAAAATTGTCAGGCGGTGGAAGGAATACTTCGAGGACCTCCTTAATCCCACTGACACGTCTTCCGAGGAGGAAGCAGAGTCTGGGGATGAGGGGAATGACCCGCCAATTTCCGGGGGCGAGGTCACTGAGGCAGTTAAACAACTCCTTGGTGGCAGAGCCCCTGGTGTTGATGAGGTCCGCCCCGAGTTCCTGAAGGCTCTGGACGTTGTAGGGCTGTCCTGGTTGACACGCCTCTGCAATGTTGCGTGGAGATCAGGGGCAGTACCTGTGGACTGGCAGACCGGGGTGGTGGTCCCCATCTTTAAGAAGGGGGACCGGAGGGTGTGTTCCAACTACAGGGGGATCACACTCCTCAGCCTCCCTGGGAAAGTCTATGCCAGGGTGCTGGAAAGGAGAGTTCGTCCGTTAGTCGAACCTCGGATACAGGAGGAACAATGCGGTTTTCGTCCTGGTCGCGGAACACTGGACCAGCTCTTTATCCTCTCCAGGATACTTGAGGGTGCATGGGAGTTTGCCCAACCAGTCTACATGTGTTTTGTGGACTTGGAGAAGGCATTCGACCGTGTCCCTCGGGGTGTCCTGTGGGAGGTGTTGCGGGAATATGGGGTGTCTGGCCCATTGCTACGGGCCATTCGATCCCTATACAACCGTTGCAAGAGCTTGGTTCGCATTGCCGGCGATAAGTCGGACTCGTTCCCGGTGGGTGATGGGCTCCGCCAGGGCTGCCCTTTGTCTCCGGTTCTGTTCATAATTTTTATGGACAGGATTTCTAGGCGCAGCCAAGTGGCGGAGGGCTTTCGCTTTGGTGGCCTCAGAATCTCATCTCTGATTTTTGCAGATGATGTGGTTCTGTTGGCTTCATCGGGTGAGGGCCTCCAGCTCGCACTGGAACGGTTCGCAGCCGAGTGTGAAGCAGCGGGAATGAGGATCAGCACCTCCAAATCTGAGGCCATGGTTCTCAGCCGGAAAAGGGTGGAGTGCCCACTCCGGGTCGGGGATGAGTTCCTGCCCCAAGTGGAGGAGTTCAAGTATCTCGGGGTCTTGTTCGCGAGTGATGGGAGAAGGGAGCCGGAGATCGACAGACGGATTGGGGCTGCAGCTGCAGTAATGCGGACGCTGCACCGGTCCGTCGTGGTGAAGAGGGAGCTGAGTGTAAAAGCGAAGCTCTCAATTTACCGGTCGATCTACATCCCTACCCTCACCTATGGCCACGAGCTGTGGGTAGTGACCGAAAGAACGAGATTGGGGATACAAGCGGCAGAAATGAGCTTCCTCCGAAGGGTGGCTGGCGTCTCCCTTAGAGACAGGGTGAGAAGTTCGGCCATCCGGGAGGGGCTCAGAGTAGAGCAGCTGCTGCTCCACATCGAAAGGAGCCAGCTGAGGTGGTTCGGGCATCTGACAAGGATGCCCCCTGGGCGCCTCCTGGGTGAGGTGTTCCAGGCATGTTCCACTGGGAGGAGGCCCCGGGGCAGACCCAGGACACGCTGGAGAGATTATATCTCTCGGCTGGCCTGGGAACGCCTTGGTATTCCCCCGGATAAGCTGGAGGAGGTGGCTGGGGAGAGGGAGGTCTGGGCCTCTTTGCTTAGGCTGCTGCCCCCGCGACCCGGCCCCGGATAAAGCGGATGAAGATGGATGGATGGATGAAATATTATCTTATGAAACAGTTAAGGTTGTCGTCAATTTGTGTAAATCTAAAGGGTCTAACTCATGATTTTGCGTCTTTAACTCAGTGTTTTTTGTTTGTGAACTTTTGAATCTTGGTTAATCATTGTTGTAGTATTCCTAGAGTGAATTATGTTTCCTAGTTTAGTTTTCTTACATTTATGTGTTTTCTGATTATTGCGCTTATCTCTGTGGTTTTGGTTTAGTTCCCTTAGTGTTTCCTGATTTATTTTCACAGCACCTTGTTTCATGTGCATCATATTTAGTTTTGCTTCCTTGGTCAGATTTGTTCCAGCTCCGTTTCCACCTGTTACCCATCCTCTCATTATCCTGTGTATTTAAGTCATCAGTCTTTCTCTGTTTCCTGTCATGTCATTGTCATCTGGCTTTGTATGCATGCTCCTTGTGCCTTAATGTTCCCTAGTACAGTGGGGCAAAAAAGTATTTAGTCAGCCACCGATTGTGCAAGTTCCCCCACCTAAAATGATGACAGAGGTCAGTAATTTGCACCAGAGGTACACTTCAACTGTGAGAGACAGAATGTGAAAAAAAAATCCATGAATCCACATGGTAGGATTTGTAAAGAATTTATTCGTAAATCAGGGTGGAAAATAAGTATTTGGTCAATAACAAAAATACAACTTAATACTTTGTAACATAACCTTTGTTGGCAATAACAGAGGTCAAACGTTTACTATAGGTCTTTACCAGGTTTGCACACACAGTAGCTGGTATTTTGGCCCATTCCTCCATGCAGATCTTCTCGAGAGCAGTGATGTTTTGGGGCTGTCGCCGAGCAACACGGACTTTCAACTCCCGCCACAGATTTTCTATGGGGTTGAGGTCTGGAGACTGGCTAGGCCACTCCAGGACTTTCAAATGCTTCTTACGGAGCCACTCCTTTGTTGCCCGGGCGGTGTGTTTTGGATCATTGTCATGTTGGAAGACCCAGCCTCGTTTCATCTTCAAAGTTCTCACTGATGGAAGGAGGTTTTGGCTCAAAATCTCACGATACATGGCCCCATTCATTCTGTCCTTAACACGGATCAGTCGTCCTGTCCCCTTGGCAGAAAAACAGCCCCATAGCATGATGTTTCCACCCCCATGCTTCACAGTAGGTATGGTGTTCTTGGGATGCAACTCAGTATTCTTCTTCCTCCAAACACGACGAGTTGAGTTTATACCAAAAAGTTCTACTTTGGTTTCATCTGACCACACGACATTCTCCCAATCCTCTGCTGCATCATCCATGTGCTCTCTGGCAAACTTCAGACGGGCCTGGACATGCACTGGCTTCAGCAGCGGTACACGTCTGGCACTGCGGGATTTGATTCCCTGCCGTTGTAGTGTGTTACTGATGGTGACCTTTGTTACTTTGGTCCCAGCTCTCTGCAGGTCATTCACCAGGTCCCCCCGTGTGGTTCTGGGATCTTTGCTCACCGTTCTCATGATCATTTTGACCCCACGGGATGAGATCTTGCGTGGAGCCCCAGATCGAGGGAGATTATCAGTGGTCTTGTATGTCTTCCATTTTCTGATGATTGCTCCCACAGTTGATTTTTTCACACCAAGCTGCTTGCCTATTGTAGATTCACTCTTCCCAGTCTGGTGCAGGTCTACAATACTTTTCCTGGTGTCCTTCGAAAGCTCTTTGGTCTTGGCCATGGCGGAGTTTGGAGTCTGACTGTTTGAGGCTGTGGACAGGTGTCTTTTATACAGATGATGAGTTCAAACAGGTGCCATTCATACAGGTAACGAGTGGGGGACAGAAAAGCTTCTTACAGAAGACGTTACAGGTCTGTGAGAGCCAGAGATTTTCCTTGTTTGAGGTGACCAAATACTTATTTTCCACCCTAATTTACGAATAATCTCTTTACAAATCCTACCATGTGAATTCATGGATTTTTTTTTCACATTCTGTCTTTCACAGTTGAAGTGTACCTCTGGTGCAAATTACTGACCTCTGTCATCATTTTAAGTGGGGGAACTTGCACAATCGGTGGCTGACTAAATACTTTTTTGCCCCACTGTATGTCCAAGTTACCATGTTTCTGAGTTTTCAGATCATGCCAAGGTGTTAAGTTTGGGAGTTTCAACTGTCAATAACGATGCCGTTTAAGTTTAGCAGCTGAGCAGCAGATTACGTTTAATTATGCCATCACTCTTTTTTCCTGCCCTGGACCTGGAAATCACAGGGACACATCGCACATCAATGCCTGTCTGTTGTGGCACCTCAAGTATTTCTTGCACAATTTCCTTTAAGCCTTTAGTCTAATAAGTTTCTATATTTATTTACAAAGCTTAATAGTGTTTGCAAAAAGACTAGCAAGAACAATGGCAGGTGGTTAGATCTATGGTTATTAGTAAAATAACTATTCAATGTTTCAATAAAGAAAAACTTGAATAAAATAGTGTGAGTCATCATGAAAATTCAGAGCCAACACGGTGCGTCTCTGAACAAATGCATTTTTTATAACTCATCTGTTTTGATGAAAAAATACAAAACTTTATCCTTGCAAGAATTAATCGATAACACTCCACCCAAGAAAGCAATGGGGATTGTCAAGGGGGTTATCGCAATTTTTATATAGGGTCTATGGCAGTGCTTCCCAAACTTTTTCCAGCCACGTACCCCTTGAGACATGTCACCCTCAGCCGCATACCCCCTACTACGAACGACTCTTAATTAGTGTCTATAAATACATTGCAATATCGCATGCATAAAGATAAATACTGCACAGTCGATTATTTCTCACCACCAAATGAATTTATCAATATTTTTTAGTAATGACAGAGTTTTAATAACAAACTTTACTACTTAATACTAGCAGTGTATCAAAGGATTTATTAGAATTCACTTTTTTGTCGAGAGCATAAAGGCCATGAACTTTCATTAAACAGAACTTTATTTAATGTGATGGATGTGCTTGAGCAGAGGCACACAGCTCTTCAATGTTTGGCTCAATTTGGGAAAGGCTGAGTCTTAAATCGTTTTCCACACAAAGTCTTGCTCTGTATTTTGTTTTCATGTTTGTTAAAGCAGAAAATCCCTTTTCGCATAAGTATGTGGTGGCGAAAGGCATCAGAGTCTTGACAGCGCGCTTAGCCAGCGCGGGCTGTTCAGTGCGCAGCCCTATCCAGAAATCCGCCAGGTTCTTTTGAGCGTGTTCAACTTTTAGAGATCCATCTGTGGCGATTTCAATTAGGCTCTCCTGGTCAGACGGTGATAACGAAGTAGGCACGGCGGTGAACGGGTGACGTATCCAATCATTTGAGCCGTCCGTCTCTGGGAAGTATCGGCGTAACTGCACCGCCAGCTCCTCAAGGTGCACGTTACATTCGCGCTTTACACTTTTAGATAGTGTGAGATCATTAGAGCACAGAAAATCATGCAGCACAGGAAAGACTTCAGTGTTGTTTGTATCCAAGCAGTTCTTCCAAAGGTTTAACTTCTTTATCATGGCCTCAACTTTATCTTGAACATTGAATATAGTTGCAGAAACGCCTTGTAATCCGAGATTGAGCTCGTTCAGACGAGAAAATATATCACACAGATAAGCCAGGCAGGTAAGGTACTCTTCATCATGCAAATGTTCAGACAGCTCAAAGGGATGGTTACTGAAGAAAACTTTAAGTTCATCCCTCAACTCAAAGAAACGGGTCAGCACTTTCCCTCTAGATAGCCAGCGAACCTCTGTGTGGAGTAATAATGTCTCATGCTCGCTGCCCATCTCATTGCACAACGCAGCAAATAAGCGGGAGTTCAGCGGCCTGGCTTTCACAAAGTTAACCATTTTTACACTCGTGTCCAAAACATGTTTCAAACGGACAGGTATTCCCTTTGCAGCAAGAGCCTCTCGGTGGATGCTGCAGTGTACCCAGGAGGCATCTGGCGCGACTGCTTGCACACGCGAAACCACACCTCCGTGTCTCCCAGTCATGGCCCGTGCGCCATCAGTACAGATGCCAACACATTTGTCCCACACGAGTCCATGTGTGTTCATGAATGTGTCCAGCTTTTGAAAAATATCTGCGGCAGTTGTCCTTTGTTCCAGCGGTTTACAGAACAGCATGTCCTCCTTGATGGTTCCTTCATGAATGTAGCGCACATATACGAGAAGATGCGCCAGGCCAGCCACATCCGTGGACTCATCTAGCTGTATTGCATAACATTCACTGTGGCGTATGCGCAGAAGTAGCTGCTGTAAAACATTTTCTGACATTGCATTGATGCGCCGTAAGACAGTATTGTTTGATGATGGAATGGACTGTATCGTCTTTTTTGCCTTTTCCCCCAACATTGTCCCTACCATATCTAAAGCAGCAGGGAGAATGAGGTCCTCCACAATAGTGTGGGGTTTGTTGTTTTTAGCCACTCTGTAACTGACCATGTAAGATGCTTGTAGTCTGTTTTTATTCATAAGATCTGGCACCTGAATGCAGGTTTTACTTGTTGAAAGTGATTTTAGCTGTCGCTCAAAATATTCCCTTGGTTTATTTTTCAAATGGGGATGATTTGTCTCTAAATGTCTGCGCAAAAGTGAAGGTTTCATTGAGTTCTGAGACAATACTTTTGCACAAATAACACACTGTGGCCGGGGAAATCCACCAATATTTATACACGTAAACCCCAGCGAAATATAATTGTCATCATATTTGCGCTTCTTTGATGAGGTTGTGTTACAGTCCGTGCTGTCATGCTTTCTCCCACTTTGACGCTCCGCATCAGACACTTCATCACTTTCCACATGGCTGGCTCCAGCTATGCTAGCCACTTGGCTAGTAACCACAGATACATCCCTGCTAGCACTGCTAGCATCCAAATCTGACGAACACATTGTTGTTGAACAATCACCTGTGCGGTCACTGGAAAATGCATCTTCAGATATGAGCTTATTGGTTGTTGTGGCCGGTGTCTCTGTGGTAGGGCCTTTTTTTCTTGTTAACCACTTGTCCATTTTCGCGCTGCACTGAATGCTTGGAGGCAACTTCAACTGTTAGGTGTCAGTCATTTGGGCAAATCACGCCCATGTATTTTGTCAGAGCTATTTTTTTGCTGAACACCAGAGGGTGGTATATAGTCATGTATTTGACAGGCAAAAAAAACTGCATTAGCGCAAATTTCGGCTTTTAAAACTTTTGATCCCCACTCCAACCCCAACCCACGCGTACCCCCTACAGCCACTTGCGTACCCCCGAGGGTACGCGTACGGTAGTTTGGGAACTACTGGTCTATGGTATTCACACAGCATCAAATCCAAGTAAACGAAAAGCTACCACTACACACAGCATCATACTGGTTATATGTGTCTGAGGTGGGAGCAAGAAAGTAAAAACAGGAAGAAAACACTTTGCAATCTAAGAGTGGAGTGACAGGAAACATGCTGCATTGCTTTACACTGAGCGAAGAAAAAATTCTAAGCAGAGCACAGGGTTAATACCAAGCATGGACTTAAAAGGTAGCGTGTGTCAGAAGGTCAATTGTCTTCCCGATACAGCACTTGTTTTGGTTTCAGTGGTTCTGGACCACACCACAGTGAAATTACAATTCCACTGCAACTTGTTGTGCAGCACCAAACTCTCCTTTTTTTTGAAAGATTTTCAAAGCACCACATCCACATCTGTGATAGAATTTTTCAACACAAGACCAAAACAATATAATTTAATAATTTAAAAAAAGGAATCTCTTGGAGAAATGACTCACAAAGAGTAAAGTTACAAAGCAAACTGTTCATTTCATTGTCTTTATTCATATATAAACTGCTTACTTTAAATACAGACTGAGTGATCAAAAATCGAACAAATGTATTTTTGGTGACTTGTGAATTTCCATATGAAGAGTCAAAAAGCTTCTGTGTTGCCGTGGGAGGAACACTCGCCATCTCCAAAGGTCTCTGCTGGATGTGGATGTGGATGGATGACAGGACAATAGAAAAAAAATCAAAGACAAGATGGTCAGAATAGCAAAGATGATGTGAAACAAAGAGTAACATGTAACACATACACTATCTGGGCCTGTAGTTATCAACCACCTCTGAAGTTGAAATGGGACTAAAAATACTATAAGCTCAGATATTTATGAGTCATGCTACGCCCACTCCCCACAGGGAGCTCTCATTTGAAAGAAAATGATGTTACTGTTTTACAATTTTCAGAGCAATAAGATGAAATTAATGACAATGTCTAGTAGGTTTTCCTCTGTGGTGCCAGTATGAAATCACATCTGAAATAATGGAGGCCCCGTTCCCTGATAATGACCTTGGAAGTTAAGAGCATATTTTATTCTTGGGCACTTCTATGAAAACTCATAAAAACCTGCATGTTTCTCAAGGCAGCAATTACGTGCAAGTGCATAGAAATGCTAGAGGCATCTTAATGTTGGATCTGCAAAAAGAAATGTCATGTGTCATTTGACATGATCACAAGATGGCGGGCGTGATCACAGCAGGATTGGCGTCCTCGCGGTGGTGCGGTGATGTTTGGTGTTAAAACTCCAAACAATTTCAATTATAGACCTTGTTTGGGCAAATAAATAAACTAAGGTTGACATTTATAAGAGACGAAATGGCAAAGATGAAGAAAGTTGAAGAAGATCTGGAGGAGATTAAACATTCACTTAACTCGCTGACGTCGGAAATTGAAAAAGTAAATAAGCAACAAGGAATATTAATGTCGATGATGGACCAAATCAAAGAACTAAAAAACCTGATTAAGGAGAAAGATAAGACAATCCAGTTTTTGGAAAGGAAGGTGGACGATCTAGAACAGCAGGCTCGACTTGAGGAAGTGATTATTACGGGTCTGGAAACTAAACACAGGAGTTATGCGAGAGTCACCGAGTCTGGGACCGGCGTAAAAAGAGGAGAAGACGAGCCCCCGATGGAGGAGCTACAGTCGTTGGAACGGCAGGTTGTGGAATTCTTTTCGAATAAAAAACTTCCCCTGCATAGTAATAATATATCTGCATGCTATACCCTTCCTATAAGGCACACTAATGCTCCTCCAGCAATTGTAGTGAGATTTGTAAACCGTAAACACAAAGTTGATTTGCTGAGGCGGTCCAGCCTTTTGAGAGGAAGCGGAGTATATTTGAATGAACATCTTACAAAAAGAAATGCAGATATTGCTAGACAAGCTCGCATTTTACGGAAGGAGCAAAAGATTCAAGCAACCTGGACCAGGAACTGTAAGGTGATGATCAAACTGAATGGAATGCCAGAAGAAGCCAAGGTTATAACGATTAAGGATCTTGAGGAATTGGACATTTATACGAGATGACATTATCAAGATAGGCAAATGGCTACGACCAATCATGGCTATGAGCCTAAAAACAATTAGTTCATCCTTTACAAGAACAGATGCTACTTCGGGTGGAAAAGGACAAAAGGAAATTGTAAATTGTACACAGAGATCAACGGACTTTAAAATTTGTCGATAAATGAATGTGCGATTGCTAAGGATCCCTTTCTTTTTTTTCTTTTTTTTTGAGGGTAATATGTAGCCCAGCTAGAAAAAAAGAGCAGTGGAAAGTAGTTTTTTTTCGTGTATAATGTAAACAATTTAGTCAATTCTTTGTTTTTCTTTTATGTTTAAAAGAAGATGTGGACAAATAAGATCATCTGTTGTCATTTAACTTGGCCAATCAGCAATGAGCTCCCAGTGACCCTTGCTGTTGACCTTGATCACATGATTTCCTGTGTTGCCATTTTGTTCTGGGTCATACAATGCCATGTGCCAGAGAAACTAATGTTCCCGAAGTCGAATCGCTAGGAGTTAAAAGCAAGTCTGCTGCAGTTGATTTTGGTTGTTCAGAGTTTCACCCTGTCAACGGTCAGGTTTTTTTGTTATCTGGTAAAAGGATGACTCGACAGATGGACCCAGTCTGAAGCAAGCCCCGTCGAGGAGCAGTGATTCCACAGTTCCAGTTAACTGGATGGCGAGCCAACCCGAAATTGAATAGGATTTGCCAAGGTTTTATTGAAGCCAAAGTTTCGTTCCCATTGAAGCTTCAGATACCTGCAGGACTACAAACTTTCTTCCTTCATCGGAGTGTGGTAGGACAAACATTAAACAAACTGAACGGGCCCCAACGATCCATCAGTGACCAGACATTATCCACTCATACAATTGACTCAGAGAAAGCTGTATGCGCGCACTTTTATTTAGTTTGTTATTTTGGGGGAAATATTTTGTATTTTATTTTATTGCTTTCATTACATTGTTGCAGCTGCTGTGTGTCAAATATAACAAATTTGTGAACAGTCTATTGTGATGTGGTCTCTCCTTATTGGTGTTTATACCTTGGGCTCCTGCCGATCCTAGATCTTCTGCTACTGGCTAGTGGAGTTCGGTCATTCTTAATGATAAGTCGTAAGTCCGGTTACAAATAGATAGTTTTAGAATAATTATGCATAATGCTTGACGACTCAGATCATAAATCATATGATTTTTAAGTAGGTATTGACCCTGAAAGGAATGTGCTTAATACAATTAATGTCACATGTGACTATTATACAGAGGAGCAATTCAAGGATACGGTTGAAATAGTTAATACATTTTCTTTAACTCATATTAATTGCAGAAGTCTTTATAGAAGTTTTGCTTCGATTAAAGATTTCCTGTATAGTCTGAGAGGCAGGTTGCTCTGTCTGAAACATGGTTAGATGAGAAGAGGGGTTGTCATTTCTGTATCGAAGGGTACGATTTATACTTTGTAAATAGAATTAAGAAAAAGGCAGGAAGAATGGCACTTTTTCTTAATTGTGATTTGAAATGTAAAAAAGTTGAATGTGTGTCTGTGGCTATAGACGATTTAATGGAATCTGTGACAGTGGAATTGGATATAGAAAGAAGTAGTAATATAATTGTAACGTGTATATATAGGAAACCGGGGTCACAGATTGAGTTATTTACAGAGGCAGTAGAAGACTAATTGAGTAAAGCTAAGGGAAATAAGACTA